GGCTAATACGTCTAGCAGGACAGAATTCGCCGCCCCTGAGCAGCGCTGCGTGGCGCCTTTTCCAAGAAAGGTACCTATAGCGCCCTATCAAGCTGCAACATACCGACCCGAACATCCACCGCGCCCGCCCGCCCACAAATGGACGACCGATGCTGGTGCTCGTATCGCTTCATTTGCGAAGTACAATATGAAGCGAAGGGATTGATATGAAGCGGCTGCGGTGCTGCATGGATATATGAGTACATACATGCAGCCGTATCTACCGTAGCGGTTATTGGCACGATGCCAACGGGAAACTCGTCCGAAATTGCTTTCTGAGTCGTGGGAACAAAGGCTTTTTCCACAGGTTTTTGACCGTCTCACTTGGCTTTTTGGCTATTTTTCCACTGGCACCCCTGCTACCACTTTAGACCAGTACCAAATTATCGTGCCTTGTGCCTCTGAGGAAAGAGTTGATGGAACATAGCAGACTGAATGACTGCTAAATTATGGCATTTGACAATTCCAGAACAGACTTCTTGTTGCAGGGGCAAACAAGATCAAAGATAGCTTCCGCAACCACGACCACCAGCACCACAACAGTACCTCCAACAACCCCTCCGAATAAAGATTCGCCAACATGCTTTGCTGGACATGCAGCATATGTAGCGCAAGAAGAAGGCGGATGTCCATCAGCTAGCGGTTAGTTTTAAATCAAAAGACTTAGCCACATTCTTTCCCGTTTTACAGACTAAACATTTCAGAATTCGTTTCCTCTGTGTGTCGCCCATTCCAGGATTGCATGGGAGACAAACGAACGTCATACTGGATGTGTAAGCCAATGTTAGTCGTGCAGTACAAGATTGTTCTATGTGCAGGCGTTATCACCGAAGTCAGCCTAGGCGTGTTGGCCGGGCATGGGGTTGACTCGGGACCACCTCATTTCCCACCTATCGGCTGTTTAATGAGCGGTGGAAAAAGCTGGCACTGCGCCAAACGCCAAGCACCGCTGATACACTCTGCCAAACGCCGAAGCTGCACCGCAGCTCAGCGTGCTGTAAATGTTTCAAATTACCAATGACTCGTACTTCCAGGATCTGTTCAGAGCTTAAGAAACACAACAGGCGAGAAGAATGTTTGCGCAATTTTTTCAAATGCAACAGTGAATAAATTGTTAAATTTACTTGTTCTCTGCTCGGGTCTGTAAAGTACTCAACGGTGAGATAATGTGGCGGTCGGACGCACGGCTCACCATCGCCTTCAAATTCGATTCGTTCCCTGAACTGCTCCCGCGCCCTATAGACTAAGCTATGCCAGTCTCGTCAATTCACTCACATGGAAGTCGCACAAGCTGCATGGTTAATTCAAAATTTGAGTTAAAGAAGTTGAATTTGAAAAGTTTCAAGGACGAGGCCCGATCGTGGCTTGATGCTACATATTAAAGCTTTTGCTGCTTCCCCATCCTTGTTAGCAGTTGGCTGCTTTTATTTTTCTTTTTTGTCGAAGCCCAGTGGGATGAAAAGACATTCTGCGTCAGTACTTATCAAGGCTGAGTTCATACTTTGGGGCAGCGTCCACCGGCGACTAATAGCGTTCACCAGCGTTCCGAGCGTCCAGCAGCGTCAGCGATCAGGAAGTATAGATACTGACAGACTTACAGATGTGGTCCATCAAGTTGTCGACTTGACAAAATGATTTATTTTATTCCAAACAAGACAGATAAAGATTTCATTAAGCTCTCGACATTACATAGTAGCAATCAAAAATCGGTAGAATTGCTAGCAAGTTATTCAATTGTGGGGTACCTCTCACTACTCTTTGGAACTGTGTCTTCTATGCTCTTCCTCATCAAATTGTAATCTTCTGACGGTGAACTTAATTTACCTGCAAGTAATTACTATTGCTACCGGCCACGAACATTTGTAAAAACTAGTAAGAACTGAGACTGCAGAACTGACACTAGGGAGAAGAAAGGTAAGAAACTAAGATTGCAAATTGGGTCTATTTGATCAATTGGATGAACGAACCCATAATGTCGGTCGGTAACTTTCGCTCCATTAGCGCTTTTTCGCCGAGGTTAATTTTCATTCTCATTCCTTTCAGTGGACGAGTTACCTAAGACATACATTACGAGGGACTGCACACTGAAGAGGAACACCGCACAAAGAGCGACACCCTGTTAGCACTACAACCCTGGAGGCAGTGGGCACGATGATCTGGTCTGCTGCAGAAAAAAATGGAAGTAGATGCACTAAATATGTAGTGCGATGAAGCGGAACAAATAGATGGACGTGAACGATCACATAGCCGAAAACGAAGAAATAGGGCCATTGACTAGGCTTAAACAAGGAAATGCACGACCATATGCATTTACATCCAGATGCGGGAGGTCATTTTTTGAGAGCGGCAATGTCTCTGCTGTTCCATTGTTGCCGGCGATAGTAAATGATGCTTTGTTTGCTTGCCGTAAAATTGATATTTGTCCGATTAAAGAGTAATCTGCCAATGGGTTTACTGTTCGACCTTCTCCTTGCTACGTTCCACTGCAGCGGATTGAGGCTGGCAGACGGATTCCCTTCGAACATATGATAGTCCTCCTCGTACGACTTTGTTAGCTGATACTCCGTTGTGAGGCCATCCAGCGTGGCCTTCTCGTACTAGACCAGTTTCCTCGGTAGGCACGCACGATATTCGGAAGGTCGGATTTTTGAGAATCCAGCGAAGTGAATGCACATTGTATGCCGTAGAAGTCGATAGTGCCCATCTTGGCATCCGTACACCTTCTCGTGATTATTAGCTGGCAGATTTCGAACTCCCAACCTTCACAGCTCGTCCCCAAACATTCGAAAAGATGAAGAGCGTCTTGGCCCATCTGAACTGGTATCCCACCACCTCAGGATTTTGCTCCAATGCGGTTCCACAGCAGCTCGAGTGAAAAGGCTGAGGTCAGCGTCTGATGACCATCTCCGTCCACAAAACATGCATTCTGGTTCGTCCTTCTCGTTTTCGCATTCATTCTTGAACATTTTCTGGTACATCTAGAACTCGATGTTGAACGAGCGGCCTCTGTCGGGATCGAACGGACCGACTAGGCCGTTAAGTGCGTCAAAAATTGCGTACTTGTCCTTGACGGCAAGAGTACCGCCGACAGCTGATATCCTCTCCATGACATGCGATTAAAGCTTTTTGCTGCTACATTTGTGCGAATCGAGGTCAAACTGACTTGAAGAAGAGCTGGTAGAGGGCTTATTCCTTGGAGTCCTTCGACTCCTGGTCGCCAGCGCCATCCCTCTGGAATGCTGTAGACGAACAGGAATACAGCTTTATCGCTGAGGTATTGTGGAATGATTACCACAGTAAGTGCCCATCTTTGTACTGGCTGAAATGGGTACTGCTGATCAGGGGATCATAGGCTGAACTAAACTTCAACGATACATAAGACGGTAGCAAAGCGTTACCTTAGTGACCACCAGGAAGAGATTATAGAATGCAAACAGCAGGTTCAGCACACTGAATATACAAGCAAATATAGTCGCGAAAAGGAAAAGCCTGGAAAGGAAGAGCTATTTGCTGAGGCAAAACAGTGGAATTCAGATTTTATGCCTTGAGAGCTGCTCTCCTGTATCTGCCCCTCTCCAGCAAGGGCTATGCTACGTCATGTCTGCTCGCTTGCATCCTCTCACCGAAGAGCCACAACATGTAAAGTTGATTACCCGGCCCAAGTGATGTGTCGCGGCTGCAGCGCGTCACGATCGCTGCGACCCGCTGTTTT